CACACACACACACACACACACACACACACACACACACACACACACACTTTCCTTGATGTTTTATAACTGCAGTTGTTGTTACTGCAGTTCTTCTACTGTTCTTAAGAATACTTTAGCAATTCTAATAGACCTGATCCTGCTGTCATTACTCAGGCAAAATTTTATTTGTACTCAATTTGAGTTATTCCCAGTAAGGGCAAAAGGAGTTAATTCACTGTTTTTATTACAAATCTTTATTAAATTTGAATTCAATTATTTGTGCAGCTATATTGGGACATGTAATTTCTTGCTATTTTTGTTACTTTTATTATACTGCATTTTATTCTGTTTTTTTAAAAAGCTATTTTCTCTTTCTTCTTGCAGGCAGAAGAAAAGGCACATTCAGAGGTAAAAATCTTCCCTCAGTGTGATGAGATGCTTGTATAGTAGTATTATTAGAGCTCATTAGTTGACAGTATTGGTACAAAGTGGAGATTTGCTGCAAAAAAAGACACTATGCTAAAAATGCATTGCAGCTGTGCTGACAAATGGTTTTCTAGTCCTCAAGCTGCAGAATTTTTGGATCAGTTACAAAAAAGGTGGAGAGAGTCAATGAGTATCTCAGTCTTGAGGCACAAGGGGTCGGGATTTGTCTCTTTTCAGACCTCATCAGTACAGTTCCCTATTGAGCCAGAGGCATCTATGCAGATCAATGCAAGTGCTTCTTCTTGGGAGCAAGAAAACAAGGTCCACTCTTGAGCCTGTATCACTCACGTCATAGCATGTTGCACAGTGCTAAATTACTGAACCAGTCCATGTTGATGAATTTTAGAGAAAAGCAGATTGTCACCACATGTAAATCAGTTCTGAAGTAGGAAAAAAGCCACTCTCTCCTCATAGTCTATATGAACTAGTAACAAGGTAGGTCAGCAGCTGGATCCAATTATAGCCTTACACAAAGGGAGATATTAGTGCCATTTCTGCTGGAGCACCGGTAGTAAAATGGCACCAAGGATCCCGCTGCCACTTCACACAGACACACACTTTTTTGGAACATTTTCTTAAACCTTCCTTGATTCCTGCAATCATTCTGCATTTCTTCCACACTTAAAATGTTTAATATACGGCAAAGGGTTGATAATGACACTTGTTAAAAGGTTTTATGAAATAGTGTGGAGGTGGGGAGAAAAATAAGCATATCCTCTCTTACCCCACAGTATATTTCAATATTGATTTCACCTAACACTTTCTAGGGTCTTTTCTATGAAAGATAAAGCAGAGGATTTACTGTTAACTTACAGCAGCTTAGGTGGCATTTTTACATACTTCACTTCCCAGTGCACAGAGGTGAAATCGCCCCTCTTTTTGTCACTTTGTGTCTTGAAGATGAGTTTCATGGACATTATCAATCTCTAGGGAAAAGGGGTATTGAATAGCACAACATGAGAACCACCTTATTGTAGGTGCAGGAGTGTGCTACAAGTGTAGCTAAGACAAAAAGGGGAGTAATTGGCATTGAAAACAAGGGAGAGAGGTTGGGGAAGGGAAAACAGTCCAGATGAAGAGAAAGCTTAGTAACCTATGTCCCTTGCTTTGCACCAGTGAGAACATCCTTGGTTCACACACTAGTCTTTGTATATATGAGTATTCATCGATTTTTAAAGCATGCACAATATTTTTCGTATTGATTTTCATGGGAATCACCTCGCTAAAGCACTGCAATCTCCTTTATAAACGTAAGCATTAATGTGAAAATGATATGTGTGTGCTCACTTTTCTTGCCTGGCTTTACCCATCTTACTTTTGTGCTGGGGAGGAATCCATTGTATGTGAGAATCTGAGAGAGATTTAGAGGCCTATGTGGCAGCTGAGCTCTCAGATAGGAGTTAAGTGGGGTTTAAGTGATGCACAGGCTTTGTGCTGAATATCTGTACTGGGTGAATTTCATCCTCGTGCATTGCATAAAATATTTTTTTCTGAGGCAAGTGTTTTTCCTAAAAAGAAACATTAGACTTGGGCTGAATTTATTTTCACTCTTGAAAGTATGGAGAAGAATTTAAATGTACTTGTTATATTTGTCCCGCAGTATTTTAAAACATATGAGGCTTTAAGAGGGCATACAATTATATTGCACTGAATGCAGGGGACATTTTTTTTATAGGACCAATCCTATTCAACTTATTCATAAATGATCTGGAGAAAGGGGTAAACAGTGAGGTGGCAAAGTTTGCAGATGATACTAAACTGCTAAAGATAGTTAAGTCCAAAGCAGACTGTGAAGAACTTCAAAAAGATCTCACAAAACTAAGTGATTGGGCAACAAAATGGCAAATGAAATTTAATGTGGATAAATGTAAAGTAATGCACATTGGAAAAAATAACCCCAACTATACATACAATATGATGGGGGCTAATTTAGCTACAACAAGTCAGGAAAAAGATCTTGGAGTCATCGTGGATAGTTCTCTGAAAATGTCCACGCAGTGTGCAGAGGCGGTCAAAAAAGCAAACAGGATGTTAGGAATCATTAAAAAGGGGATAGAGAATAAGACTGAGAATATATTATTGCCCTTATATAAATCGATGGTACGCCCTCATCTCGAATACTGCGTACAGATGTGGTCTCCTCATCTCAAAAAAGATATACTGGCACTAGAAAAGGTTCAGAAAAGGGCAACTAAAATGATTAAGGGTTTGGAACGGGTCCCATATGAGGAGAGATTAAAGAGGCTAGGACTCTTCAGCTTGGAAAAGAGGAGACTAAGGGGGGATATGATAGAGGTATATAAAATCATGAGTGATGTGGAGAAAGTGAATAAGGAAAAGTTATTTACTTATTCCCATAATACAAGAACTAGGGGTCATCAAATGAAATTAATAGGCAGCAGGTTTAAAACAAATAAAAGGAAATTCTTCTTCACGCAGCGCACAGTCAACTTGTGGAACTCCTTACCTGAGGAGGTTGTGAAGGCTAGGACTATAACAGAGTTTAAAAGAGAACTGGATAAATTCATGGTGGTTAAGTCTATTACTGGCTATTAGCCAGGACGGGTAAGGAATGGTGTCCCTAGCCTCTGTCTGTCAGAGGGTGGAGATGGATGGCAGGAGAGAGATCACTTGATCATTGCCTGTTAGGTTCACTCCCTCTGGGGCACCTGGCATTGGCCACTGTCAGTAGACAGGATACTGGGCTAGATGGACCTTTGGTCTGACCCGGTACGGCCTTTCTTATGTTCTTATAGCACGTATAGTAATTCTTGGCGTGAGTGCATCAAGTTCTTCTATTTTCAGGACCTGAGGCTTTATTAAGGGATGGTACAAATGATATTGTATATATCGAGCCACATTTTCAAAAATTAGGGCCTAGAAAATTAGGTTCCAAACATCACATTTGCATGTTCAAGCTGGGAATTGTGCACATACTGTAAGTACCAATTTGTACATCAGATAAGAGCTCCCATAAATGGGGCCTTTGAGTGTACAATGGAAACATGCACAAATGCTCTGTGCGCAGTTTAGATGCCAAACTATTATGATTTTGTAATTTGGCTTTTTGAGTATTTTACAATTCATATATATGGAATTACAATACTGTAAAGCATTAATGATCAGCTAAAGAAAAAATAAAGGAAATGAAATAGCTGATGAAACAAAAATGTGATATGAGTTTATCTGTTCTCAATCCAGCAAATTCATAAACTCCGAAGGGAACTGGTTGCATCACAGGAAAAAGTTGCCACCCTCACATCCCAGCTTTCAGCAAATGTAAGTAGTTTTTGCTTTATTATTGTAAATAATTCTTGAAACAAATAACTTCCAAAAGCTGCTGGTCTTCTAATAAGTTCTTAAAGATGTACCATAATCTTTCAGTTCAGTGCAAGTGAAAGGTGCCCAAATCATAGTCCTGGAGACTTGAGGTCCTTTTAACTATGTATTTATTTCAATGTGTTTATAATGCACAGATAAGGTTGGTCTGGGGACCTATATCCACTGAACAGGTACAATACGGGCATCCCACCAAATAGCTTGATCCGAAATGGAAGAGTTCATCTCCTGGTGTTACAGCCTTGCAGTCTCCATGCTGCTCAGTCTTTAGTGTCTCTTCTGATACTGTCAACAAGAGTACAAGCTGTAATGTTATTTTGTGATGTGATACCTGTTCCCTAAGGACCCAATTCTGCTGCCCTTATTCATGTTTAGTACCTGAATAGTCTCATTTTACCCAATGTGAGTAAGGGTGACAGAATCAAGCCCAATGAAATGAAGCCACCAATCCATTTTATGGGTTATTGAACAACTAGTGGAATGTAAAGCACTTGAATCATATCTGGTCAGAGACAGATATGAAACAGCAACCTATAGCAATGGTGAAAGACCCTGTATTCCATTATATGTCACCTAAACCAGCAAGTCCTCAAAACACCTGTTTGCTTGTCTGAGCAATAATGATAGTCTCATTTTTGTGATGGATATTAAATTTCTGCTACAGAGTACAACTATTACATTTTTTAAAAATTGAACAGCAGTTTTCGGTGCTGCCTTACTGAATGATATAGACACCAAAGGAGAGAGTTAACTCATATCAGCTGCAATAAAACAATACAATTTTTGAAGATTTATTATATTAGTATACTAAGTAAAAAAAATACCAAAATCCTCTATTTGGAAAATTCGAATAAATACCTTATCATCAATTTTTTATAAAAAGAAGAAAAAATAAATATTGAAGTAAGTACTGTGTTTGAAATATATTTTGTGTTTCTTCCAACTTCTGCAAAATGAATTAATATAGCTTTCACTGAAGTAGGGTAATTGTCGTCATGCAGTAAAATGTAAAGTGTCATCTTATGATGGTGGTGGGCATAGAAAATTATCCAGGTAGACAATATGGTTTTTTTACAGTATATGTGTTCTATATATGGAGTTAAGTGAAGGTTAATATCAAGGGACTTTCCAGCATAGCTAAACACACAATTGTCCAGCCAGTTCTCCAGAAAGAGTTTTTACACAACCAAAATTTTCCAGCTATCTTCCTGTGTTGAATTTCTGGGTAGAGAAACTGAAAAACTGAAGAGCCATTGCTAACTTCACCTGTGCTCCACCAGTGTCCTAGACCCATACCAGTTAGGTTTCCCATGAGGATATGGCACAGAGACAGTGGTATTTGCTTAGAGGACAACTTGCACCTAACCATGGAAAGTGGTCAGACTTTGCAGATGATACAAAACTACTCAAGATAGTTAAGTCCCAAGCAGACTGCGAAGAGCTACAAAAGGATCTCACAAAACTGGGTGACTGGGCAACAAAATGGCAGATGAAGTTCAATGTTGATTATTGCAAAATAATGCACATTGGAAAACATAATCCCAACTATACATATAAAATGATGGGGTCTAAATTAGCTATTACTACTCAAGAAAGAGATCTTGGAGTCCCTTTGGATAGTTCTCCGAAAACATCCAGTCATTGTACAGCAGCAGTCAAAAAAGCGAAAAGAATGTTGGGAATCATTAAGAAAGGGATAGATAAGAAGACAGAAAATATCATATTGCTGCTCTATAAATTCACAGGATGCCCACATCTTGAATACTGTGTGCAGATGGGGTCACCCCATCTCAAAAAAGATATATTGGAATTGGAAAAGGTTCAGAAAAGGGCAACAAAAATGATTAGGGGTATGGAACGGCTTCCATATGAGGAGAGATGAATAAGACTGGGACTTTTCAGCTTGGAAAAGAGATGTCTAAGGGGAGATATGATAGAGAGCTATAAAATCATGACTGGTGTGGAGAAAGTAAATAAGGAAGTGTTATTTACTCCTCATAACACATGAACTAGGGTTCTCCAAATGAAATTAATAGGCAGCAGGTTTAAAACAAACAAAAGGAAGTATTTTTTTCACACAGTGCACAATCACCTGTGGAACTCCTTGCCAGAGAAAGAATAAAACGCATTATGAAAACTGGTCAACACAATATCATTACTCTCAGAAGAAAACACTTGGTGGCTTTGAGTTCCTTCTGGATACATAACTGACACTGCAGAGATACTTTCCAATAGCTGCAAAAAGTACCTTCCACTTATGATTATCTAGAAGTCTGAAATTCATCCGCATAGCAATAGAGTTGATCATGATAATCCATGCATTTGTGTCCTCCAGATTATTGGAATGAGCTCTACCTAGCCATGAAACCTTAGACGCACACAAGATCCAATTGGAACGGCATGCAGCAGCTTGCCTGTCAAGCAATGCCAGTCAGCAGGAGCACATCATCCTGGTCATTACACATTGAATACCAGTTTAAGTTTGAGGTTTGAAATTACTGGCTCCCTATGGAATGCCAGTTTAAATTTGAGGTGTTGGCTTTGCTCTTCAAAGCCCTCCATCGGTTGCACCAGGTTATCTCAGGAACTCCCTCTTCCTTGATGACCAAGGCCAGCCACCACAGGTGCACTCCTCAGGAACAATGAAACGATCACCAAGAGCAAGAGTAGTGTGAGGGGATGACAGAGCTTTCCTAGCAGCTGGTTCAAAACTGTGGTGACCCTTCGTTGTTTACAGTGATGTAACTGTGTTGGTCCCAGGATATGAGAGAGACAAGGCAGGTGAGGTAATAACATTTATTGGATCAACTTATCTTGGGAAAGGTACAAGCTTTTGAGCTATGCAGAGCTCTTCTTCAGGTCTGGGGAAGGAAGCAGAGTGTCTGAGCTAAATACGAGTTGGGACAGATTGTTAAGTAGAAGGGGTTACACATGTTGGAGGCAGTCACTTGAAATGAAGTGGGCAATTGTGAGTTAAATTGTTATGCATAAAGGGTTGGAAGTGGGAAATTAAGAGTAACAGGCAGTGTGGTGTGTTACAAATTGTTGTAATAAGCCGTAAAATGATCCTTCCTGTAAGAGCTAAAATGACCAAATGCTTCTGACAGGACTAAAGTTCTATCTTTTCAATGTAGCTCTCCCATCGTATCAATGATAATAATTTCTTTTTAAAAATTTTACCTCTCCTAGAATAAGAGGAAGAGGACCACAGAGATGATGCAAATTTAGACTCTCTGTAGGATTTATATAATTCTGTAAGGTACTCAAGATACCACAGTGATGAATGCAGTACAAATATAGATAGGTGTGGAGGGGAGAACATTATAAAACTGGTTTCAGAGTAGCAGCCGTGTTAGTCTGTATCCGCAAAAAGAACAGGAGTACTTGTGGCACCTTAGAGACTAACAAATTTATTAGAGCATAAGCTTTCGTGGGCTACAACCCACTTCTTCGGATGCATAATAAAACTGCACATTATAAAACTGTGAGTGGAATTCATATGCTGCAATAACAGTGCTGATCTATAACTAATGGAAACTGGGCTATTTCACAGAGAGCTCCCTGTTGTTCCTCCCAGTTGTCATACAGAAATGACATGAGTTATTGAACGTGTTATCAGGAGATAATGCAATATAGGGAATGTGAGCACTGTGTGTACTGTGTGCAGTTACTATGGTTTCAGAGTTACCAGATAATGGCTGTACAATCTAGTGAGGTTTTTAAAGGCAGTTCAGGAAATAGCTAGAGTTACCATCTTTGGTGAAAGTTGAGATGTTTGAGAGATAACATTATTGTACATTTTACTTGGAGTGTGCTTCCCTAATAATGTGTGATAACACAATACATTAAGAATGTACTATATCTACTCAGTGCCTTACTTACTTTAAAACCTAGAGGTACTGAGAATTCTGGGATGACTAAAATTTAGACCTACAGAGATTTCCATTAATTTAAAGAAATGTCTGTGCATTCTCAGGTACCAGTGTGTGGTAGCTTTGGGAAAATGATGATTCTCTGATGACATTAGGAATCCCTCAGCGTGGCTTGCTGTTGTTGGGTTACTCCACTGAGATTTATAGCATGAATGACACCTTCTTGGGCTGTGATTTTTTTCCCTTCATATCTTACAAGAAAAACAGTATTGGGCTCGATCTTTACTTTGATGGGAGGTCAACATAACAGACAATCAAAAAAACAAGGATGCCTCAGGATGTCATACCGGTGATTCGTTAGTTGACACTTTTCCTTCCACTACTGAACCAGTATTCCAGCATGTTCCAGCACTGCTCCAGAGAAGACCAGGAAGCAGATTGTCACTCAGAGAGTCACAATTTGCCTCCCTGTCTTCTCCCATTCTCTGGTCTGATACCAGAAGCAGCATATGATACCCCACAAGCAAGCCTATCTATGCTACCCAGTATGTTTGGGTGGGAGAAGTAAAGTCTATATCCCCTTTCTTCCTTGCACTGGCTATCTGTGCTACAGGTTGTTGCATAGGAGGGGGAAGAGCCACTGTCTCCCTCATCCCCGTGCAAGTGAGTGGGAGAGGGTGGGGACTGGGTAGAGCCTAGACCAGGGATCGGCAACCTTTGGCACGCGGGTCGCGAGGGTAAGCACCCTGGCAAGCCAGGCCAGTTTGTTGATCTGTCGCGTCCGCAGGTTTGGCCGATCACGGCTCCCACTGGCTGCGGTTCACCGCTCCAGGCCAATGGGGGCTGCAGAAAGCCGCGGCCAGCACATCCCTCGGCCTGCACCACTTCCCGCCGCCCCCATTGGCTTGGGACAGTGAACCGCGGCCAGTTGGAGCCGCGATTGGCCGAACCTGCGGACGCGGCAGGTAAACAAACCGGCCCAGCCCACCAGGGTGCTTACCCTGGCGACCCGCATGCCAAAGGTTGCCGATCCCTGGTCTAGGCTCTACCCAGTCCCCACCCTCTCCC